AAACAGATAAATCCAGCACTATTAAGACAATATTGTTTTTAAGACAAAGGGTGTGTTTCTTTAATAAAATGAGAGACAACCATGCAATAAGGCATTAAAACATTTACACCTACAAAGAGGCAAGTAAGCATAATTAGCCAGGCAATATTACTTAATTATATTGTAATAGAGTCTGCTGCTCTACTGGATGGAGAGTTCTTTATGGAGAAGATCCTCATCCATAAAAGAACAATTCCATTTGCTTATAAAAAAAGGAACAAAACTTTTCAAAATAACAAAGGATTGTTCAGGCATTGAGTTGTTATTACTTCTCTGTCCTAGTCTGGGAAAAAACCAGTGTTGATGGTAGGTTGCAGGAGTCCATCTGGTCGGGAGGGTGTGGTGTGTGTACCAGTCCTTTCCCCCTTTAGTGGGGAGATGTCTGTCTTTCCACAGAGCCTATTCTTGCCTGCCCGGCCGCCTGCGCATTAATAACAGGGAACAGAATCCATTCAGTGATTGATACCAGCTTATGCTAAACAATTTCCCCTCCTGTTTCCAATAAACATGGCTGTTCAAATAGATTATAGTGTCTCAGAGCGTTCACATCCCCTCCAATCCCCCTCCCCGCTTCCCCCCTCCCGCCTTAGATGTCCTTTAGCTGCTCTTTTGTGATGGTAATGAAGCTAAACAGCATTTCAAAGAGGGCTTTGATTAGCATGATAACCGTGTAGTGGCTTGATGGGCAGCATGGAATGGTTGTCTAGCCTTCCAGCACCAACAGTTTGGATGAGAAGTTATCCAACTTGTTAAAATGCATGCGTGGATGTAGATATGAATGTATGTGTGTTTGCATTCACATAAATGAGGTATCAATAAAACCTGGCAAGGTCTATTCATTGATACTCCCTGTTGGAACAGCGTTTTCCTGATGCACAGGCTAATTGCAGCAATTTGCCAAAACTTGCCTGGGTAATCCGTATGCATTTAAAGAGGGAACAGGAGGTGGAACTGCGGTAGAGCTCAGTAATTACTCATCATGTGCAGCATCACCACACTGCTGCTTCTCAAGCCACTGGACATTGCTAGAGATTGGGATTCTGGAAATGACATACAGCAGAAAGACTTCAGGAAACTGCGTGTCTCAAGACCTTTGAAACAGTGTCAACACTGAGGGCTGAAACTAAAATGCCGTGGCACCACTATAATATAGTCTCCCAAATCAGATCATTTAGGTCAAGAGTTTGTGCTGAGAGAATGCCCTTCACCCCTTGTGATATTTATTCCTTTTTCTGAAAAATAAGTGCAAGACAAAAGTTTATTCTTGGACTGTTGTTATCTGACATGCACTGTGGTTCTAAAGGATCAAAGCCACACAATGGGATGGGGAGCAGGAGCCCATCGGCTCTTTCACAGCAGTTAGACTTTATGGGACATTACTGACTCCTCTGGTTTCATTTGTTATTGAGTTTCAGCTTTCAGCCTCCCCATCGTAATTATTTGGAGTGTGACTATGAAAAACTGCCTTAATTGAAATAATGTTTCCTCTGGATTTCTTTTTTAGTGTTTGTATGTATTTTTGCAGCCCTTCAGGATGCTATAGGTTAAGCAAATAGATGACAAGTGACAACTTGCTAGTCTGCAAATACTTAAATTCCAGAACATGAAGGAGCTTCATGTCATTTATACCAGCAACCTCTATCTGCATCCAAACAGAAGGTAAGAGAAAGTACATTGCAGAGGCAACAGGTGAATTCAGCAGCATCATGAAGCTGATCACTATGAAAAAAAGCAGACTGTCACCTCTGTAAGGGTACTCAGAACTGGCAGCTATGGTTACTGAGGAATATCAAAAGCCTTACAAAGAGGTATATCTGCTTTACCTCTAGAAATACGAACAGCATGAACCCAATATATACTTTGGTAGAATATGTAAGGGTTTAGGTAAATATTGACAAAAATACTCAAATCAAGCCAACAAAACCCAAGGAGTTATTTGGAATAGAGAAGAAAACAGTGAGTAGCTGATGCTCCTGTGTAAATTTGGATGTGGAGGGCCCTGTGTTAACAGCTGGATGATTATGGGGGACAGAACGGCTGGGGAACAGCTCTGTGAGAAAGGGCTGGGACTCCTGGCTGACAGTGGGATGGAACATGAGTCAGCATCATGCCATGTGTGGTGGGGATGGCTGGGAGCATGCCCGGCTGTGTCAGTAGGAGCAACATGGCCAAGAGATTATCACCCTTCTCTCAGTGCTCATCAGAGCACAGCTGGAATTCTGCATCCAGTTTTGGGTCCTGCCGTACAAGAAGGACATCAATAAACTGGAGTGAATTCAGTGAAGGGCTACCCTTGATGGTCAAATCTGGGACACTTGCCCTTAAAGGACATACTGAAGAACCAGGGAATGAATCTCCAGTCTGGGAAAGGGAAGGCTCTGGAGGAGCCTGGCAGCAGTACCTACTAACCAGTACTAACTAGCACCTGTCAAAGAGCACCCCTGCCGTACTGAGAAGCTGGAACCTGGGTCCTGCTGGCAGTGCATGGCAGCAAGACAAAGGACAATGGCCATGAAGAGCTGAATGGCAGATATGACTGAGTATAAAGGAAAATATTTTTCCAATGAAACTAAAAAATATGTTGGAACAAGGAAGTTTTGCAGTTTCTACCATGGAGGTTTTCACTGCCTAGCTGGATAAAGCCCTGAACAACTTCATCTGACCTCCTAGCTGACTCTTGTTTTGAGCGGGAGGCTGGACTGCAGCCATCCTGAGGTCCCTTCCAGCCTGAATTACCAAGGAATCCTGTGTTTCACACAACTCATAGCCAAGCTGTACATCTTTGCTGCAGGATGCTGCAGACACTGTGGGTGTCAATACAGGTTTCAGACACTGACTAGGGTCACCAAAGGGAAATGCACTGATGTTTTGGGTCTGAACCCCAAACAAACACATGGAGAATGGGAAATGTTCAGAGGAAATGCTGTAGGCTTGCTATAATGTCATATTCTTCCTTGTGCAGCTGCTTATGGCCGCTGTCTGAGTTGGGGACTGACTGTCCATTTCCCAAACCAGTACAGCTCTTTTTGTCTTTTTATTTCTATAAAACACATCATCAGCATGATCTACTGTTTCAAACCTAAAATTTTGCAGAGCTTTTAATTACAGGGAAGTGGAGCTTTTAGAACGTCATCCCTACCCTTGGAAGGAATAGTAAAATAATGAGGCTTTTCAGACTACATTTTTTTCCAGTCAATTTTCATAATGACAGTATTTGGGGGGAAATTGAAGATTGTAGCATATTACCAAAAAGTATCATAAATGTTGTAGAGAGATCTATTTTTATTTAATTTTTTTTTTTTACTTTTTCAGAAGTTCAACAAGTTCATTGCAATCTGCTTTTCAAGGTCAGCCATCTGAATCAATGATCTTAGCTCCACCAGTTCTGATTTTTTGAATAAAATTGTAATTACCATCCTTTTAAGCACCAGCTGTTCTATTGAAACATGATACTGGTGGTGTACTCAGTCCTGGTGGAAAAATATCTGTGAGCTGCTCTTCACTGAAGCCTCAGAGCTGATTGCAAGAAGCATTTATAGTCACAGAATTAAAGGGGCCACAACCAGATCCTTTATGGATACAGTTCCTTCTCCTTTTGTGCATTACCCTGTTCAAACATGCATTTGAACTTCCACTGTACTTGTTCCTTATAAAATAACGAGAAAAGGGAAAGTTCAATATCATGCAGTGGAATGTGCAAAGGAATAATCTATGAGCTTGTCCACATGATGAGCCACATGAGAGCAATGCACAGAAACAGAAACATTTTGGGGAAATGTTTCTCTGCCATTCTTTAGCAGCACCCATTTTTTAGATGTATGTACCATCTTCACTGACAGGCAAGCAAGGTGAACAATTTAAGAGGAAGTTTATAATCTACATACAGTAGGCTACTGTACTAAAGAAGAAGTCGGTGATGAAAAGAGAAGCAGAAGTGCTTTTCTAGCAGGATTTGCAGGAGAATTGAAAGGCTGATTGGCACAGGAAGTGGCATGGGAAAATAAAAGCAAGAGGTAGAATTTGTCTTGGCAGGAAAGTGATGTTCTACTATTAGAAATGCCTGCAGGCCAAAAAGAAAAAAAAAATCCTGTGCTGAGATTTAAAAAGGATTTTCCAACTGCTTTATATAAAGTCCTATACTAACTATCTTCCTAAAGGACATAGAATTTGAGAAGTGCAGAAGCTTTTGGTCATGTTCAGAGAAGCCAGAGACCACTGAGTATTTCTGCTCTCAGACAGGGGTAGTGACAGTTTCTGTGCAGACAGGCAAGATGCAAGGAGCAGCCAGGCACTGTGGTGCACCTGCCAACTGCTGCATCCCTGCCTTCCCTCCTTTCCCCTGAAAGATGTTTTCTTTTCATATTATATGGTAGTGTATTTTCCTTTTTTTCTTCTATTTTTTATAAGAAATGAGGACGGTGGTAGTTTAGCAACATGTCTGAACAGCAGCTCCTGCCAGGGCAGGGTGCTACCAGAGGGCACTTGGGCCTGAGGACGCAGGGGAGGGAATTTGCCTTGTCAGCCACAAAATCTGAAGCATTGCAGTACTGCTGACTGATTAGGCATTGCTATATTTTTCTCTATTAACTACATGGCCTTTTCTCTTTCCAAGCCAGGAAAATGTCCACGCTGGCAGAAGTCAGGGGACACTCATCCCTCTGCAGTGTGCTATCAGGAATCAGAGTGCCTGGCGAGCCCCTGCTCTCTGGAAGTCTTTCCCTTACACAACAGACCTTGAGCAGTATTCTTGTGCTCAGTGCTCCTAAGCATTAACTCCTAAGGCCCCAGTTCAAGAAGGCTTTAATGCACATAATGACATCTCTCTTTTTCTAAAGATTGCACATAGCATGCCAACATTATCCCTAAACTTGGCCTGAAGAAGTATTTCTTCCTGAGTCAGAGATAAATAAATATCTGGAATGAAAAGGCAGTGCACAAGGAGCAATGAAGGAACACAATACTAAGTTTTCTCTTATTTATTTAACAGAAATAAATAACGAAAAGGAGAAGAGCAATACCAAGAGCATGTTGAACATACCAGTACAATTGAATGGACTTAACAAGATTATTTCATTTGTGACATCCCTGTCTGTCCCTCATTGCAGATATTTGGCATGGGAATTATATTTTACTGCTTTTGTGTACAGCAGCATTTGCCAGAGCTGTTCTTCATCTCTTGCTGGATCTTTAGACAGTGCTGAAGGACAGGTGTTAATAACTGGTAACAAGTATGGAGGGCTCTTGTAATCATTTCTATATTTCTGGAAAGTAATGAGGGGAAAATCAGAATGACCACATGTATTAATAAAAAAGACTTGCTGACTAGAGAGCTCAAATTATTTCATTTAAAGTAATGTGAAAGATTGAGACTACACCTTTCTTTTAGAGATGCTCATTTTGTGACTTCTTTGATATTTGCTCTTGCTTTAAACAGTATATTCTTTTATCTTGATAATTGAGGTTAAATGGAGAGTCTTTTATTTTGAGATATGTAACTCATCACATCTCCAGATGGAGCCACTGCAAATAGTCTGAGCACTTCCAGTTCCTACATCCCACTGTGCCATCTTCTGCTAGCCAACACGAGGTCATTTTATCTTAATATTTCATTGAATTGGTGTATTAGCAGTACATCAAAGATGATGCCTTAATGAAATGCAGCAACTGGATGTAGTCACAGCATTTGAAAGCAATGTCAGAAAAAAAAGGTTGTTTACTCTGCATGGAAAGGGAAGGCTGATGATATTTGATCTCCCGGAAGCTGGAGGCTCCAGCTCTGCAGTAGGTGAAATAGACAATATACATTTGGTGTATGTGAATTTTAGAGCTGGTGATAGACATGTAATGTCAGTCAGTTGGCAGAGATTCACAGAGCAGGCAGAGGCTGCTGCAACCAAGTAAGCTTCCATATGCTGCCTTGTCTCAAAACTAATCTGGAAAGCAGTCAGAAAATACTTTGTCATACCATGGCAGATTCCTGGTTTCATAGCCAAATGTCCTGCTGGGGTTTGTGACCAGCAGCAAAGTCGTGGTTCTTGTGTTTCTCACCTGGGTGCTGGGCGGGGAGCGCTCAGCCCATCCTGTGCAGGGCTAGGGCTGCTCTCCAGGGGCTGGCAGTCCTTGGCCACCAGTGACTGGTGGCTGGTGTTGGAAGCAGAGTTCAAGGTGAAGGATCTCCTCATACCACTACCTGTGCTATCCATGTTTTCTCAGAACACAAAAGTACAGGAAAAGAAAGACTCCAAATTGGCAGTGGATGCTTCATTAACTTCTTCTATCAGTGTGATATTTTCTTCTTATGAGGATATTATTTGTTCGCAGGTGATCACTGCTTTTCTTTTTCCTCTGTGAGATTATCATCTTAGAGAGACAAAAAAGGGGTCCCTGTCAGCTTTTATGACAAATGGTGGTTACAGGAGCACTGTAATATGTTTCTCCTTGAACAGATTTCTTTTTTTTATGCTTTGTTCCTCCTGGTCATTTGATATCTTAATGTGTTTATCTCTGAAAGAACCTCACCCAGAGATTTTGAAAAACTCCTTTTCTCTAGAGGCTAGTCATATAGTTTATATATTACTTACAGATGCAATAAACAAAGCCTTTTCTCAACTGCAGTCTCTTAAGGTTGCAGAATAACTGATCAGGCTCTTGGCTCAATTTGCTGTTTGATCATTTAGTTGATAAGGTGAATCCTGACTCAGTCAGATTTTCTGTGTTGGATCAATCAAGTGATGGAAGCTGAATATTGCATTTTCTCACCTTATGATAATCAGGAAAAGCATCAGCATCAGTAGACATCTATTTTGGCAGGTAGTTTAAGCTCTAAATGTGATTTTTATCAGCAACTAATATCCTTTAAAAATAGCTGCATTTTGGAATGACAGCAATTATGTTCACTCTGCTGTTGTGTGAAGTGGACAGACCCAGGGGTTGCCCCAGTGTGTTTCTTACCAGTGACCCACTAGGTCAGTATGTTTTACTGGTAAATAATTTTCCATGAGATTGCCTACAAATGACTAAGAGGCAGAACACTCTCAACTAATAACAGAAATGTGCAGTAGAAGTGATCTACCTGGAAATTATCTTTTTACTTTTTCCTTTTAAAGATAATTTTATTTCATCTGAATTAATTCATTCCTTATCAGTAAGAAGCCAATAAGAAAATCACTTTTGAAGGAACATAATGGGAAAGCAAAAAAAAAACCCCAAACAACAACAACAACAACAAAACTACAAAACAAAACCCAAAAAAAAAAAAAACCAAACAAACAAACAAAAAAAACCACCCAAAACAAAAAACTACCCAGACAAAGAGAAGCTAAATATAAAATACATCCTTGCATTAGACAACAGCTGTTACAGTAAGGACATGAGACAATTTCAAAGTTCTCTTCAACCGATCAGAACTGAATTGTAATCCAATGGAAAATGTCTTCCATCTTAATAAACAAATATTCTCCCTTAACAGAGAATGTACTATTAATTACTAAAAACGCTACTGAAACTGCTTTAAATTCATTGTGTACTACACAACCTGACTTTTGGGGAATATTTTTTAACATGCTTGCCTAATTTACACATTATTTTTTCCTTCCTTGAAAAAGTGTGCAAATGACCAAGAAGTCCATACAACACCCACCCTTTGCTTAACTTTTCACATTTTATTGCAAAATATCTTAAATCCTGTGGATTCCATGCCCTCTGAATTAAAAAAAAGTCCTTTAAAAGTATATTAAAACAAAACATAAAATTTTCTGAAGCAATTTAATTAATTGTAATAATTGAAAAATGAGTGATTTATTTTGTTTTTGTGAGTATGGAGAGAATTTTTAGTGGCAAAATAAATAATAATTGATTTTAAATATCTTCACTGAAAATGAAGTAATCCAAACAAATCTAACATTTGCTCCTTTGTCTATATGCATCCTAATTAAGTATAATTAGATGTAATCACCTGTCATTTCCACTTCTCCTGCATTCTGAAATCTGGCAATATATAAACCAGCTTGCTTTTTCATGCAGGATTCAATTGCAGGAAATCAAAGATGTGTTTATATTGTCTGAACTTCTGGATAAAGGTTTGTGAACTACTGAACACTTAAAAAGCCTCTTAAGTTCTTCCGTAGTAGATAATTGCATCCTTGTTCTCTGTAAATTCTAATCTGAATGATTGTTACCTGCTATTAAATTTATCCAAGATGGAATTGTTGTCTGTAGATTTTCCACATTTTATCTCAAAGTTAACAGAGTTAATACTCCTGACAACTTCATACATACAATTTTTTCTCTTTTTTGCCTATATGATCAGTTTTCTTAAATGTCTTTTTATTAGGAAATCCCTATTAGTTTAAAGGCATGAAATGGCAGTATTTAATTAAAGAAGAAGTACTACTACTTCAAAACAAAAGTTATTATTCTGTATTTAGGCTGAACCAAAAAATCCATTTCGTACACCCACTCTTCTGTTGTAATTATGTTCCAGCAAAACCTCTCCCAAATCTGCAGAAGACTGGTAGTTCATTTTATGAATTTTAGTACTTAAAATGGAAAAAAATATCAGCTCATAATTTTTAGACCTTTGTGGAATTCTCTGTACCACATGGGAACAAACTCTCTTATCTGCTCAGAGACTGATGTGAGAAAAAGCAGTATCACCTCTCAATATATTACCAGGATAAAATAGCTGCTTTCCAGCAGAGGGAGAAAAGGATGATGGTGGCCATGATATCCACATGCCTGTAAAGCTCTGTACTTCACTGATATCTTTATTTCCACACCAAGCAGAAAGATGAATCTTCCAGTTTCTAAAAGAAATGATGCTGTGAAGTTGCTGAGAACTGGATTTGGCACAATTTTTCCCCATCATTCTCTTAAATAAATCCCAAAGTCTTACGCTTGCTTGTTAGGCTTATACATACAGACTGCTTCCTTTTCCTTTCTGGCTGCTTTCCTCGATATTGGCTGGCTTCAAAGGATGGAGAAGAGGAGGAAACATGCTGACAATGCTCACACTTTCTGTGAGTCTCTTTCATTTATTGTAGCCTTTAGCTCACACAAATTTCAGCTTTGAGGCATTTGCTTGTACAGCCGTCTCGTCACCGACAGTTTCTCCAGCTGCCCCAAATCCTTTCCAGCTCTGCTCTATTTTAAGGACCTGGCTGCACCACATCTTCTGGGTGAAGAGAGAGAAACAAAAATAAGTGTTTATTTGCCAATGTCTTCTGGATTTAAAACAGCTCAGCAGCTAAGCCCTGCTGGGGAAATAGTTGCCACATTTGTTTACTTCAGAAACACCAAGCATCTTTTCTGTATCAGGGACTTCAAGTGTTTCATGAATAACTGCTTTGGTATTAGTGCATTTAATCCTTTTTACGCAGAAGCCACTGGGGATATTATACACTAATTAATAAACCTAATTGCAAGTGCCTATACCTGGCTGTTGACATGTGGGTTTGAAGAGCTTGTTACAGGCAGTGGAGGTCTATACACTGCAGGACCCTGCAGAACAATGCAGCTGGCCCATGCTGGGAGACTCGGATGGGATGCCCACGCAGAAATATTTTGTGCTATCTGAGCTGTAACTGAGCTATTTGCACTGTGGTGGCAGACATGAGACAGAACCTCCAGGAGGTCCCCACATCCTCCCAGAGCAGCAGTGGAAGGTCAGGATGGAGGTGTGTCTCAGCACCAACTGCTTGTCTGTAGCACCTCCCTAGTCCTCTGTTCCAAAAGGAATTTCCCTCTCACAAGTGTGTGACTCCATTGATTTGTCATGTCAGCTTAAACACATTGCTTGCCTGTGGACAATCACAAATAGGCATCTGTCTTTAGGTTTCATAATCTGGAGCTGAATTTCTCCACGAGACTTATTGTTAGGCCCTCACTTTTATTGCTTTGTACCATATCAGGATTACACCACCGGGTTCTGGAGAGCTCCTGGAGTAGGTGTCACAACAAGGCACTGCATTCTCCAAGAAGACTGGAAATATGCAGTCAAGGAGCTTGTGAAACATGCAGATTTAGAGCACCCTGAGTGCATGCACTGGAATACAATCAGGCTTTAAGGCAACTGAGCATACACAGGGCATGGGCAAATGTACACAGACAGGGCACTGGCTAATGCAAGTTAGAGCCATCCCTAAGGCAACTTGGTCCTAAATATTTATTGGGACTGATAAGCCACTTTTGACTGCTGTGTTTTGTGGGGTTTTTTTGGGTTTTTTTTTTTTTTTTTTTTTTTTTTGCCATATGACTCTTCAGACCCTGTACCAAGTATAGATTGCAGGATCCAAGGACTGGACTATTATTCTTCAGTGAATCTTACAATAGAAAGCACAACATTGCCTAACTTGTCTGATGGTTAGAAAAACACAAATGTAATACTAATTTGTACTACCCAGAATATATAAAAGACTGTATCCTAGATTAAAACTCATTGGAAAGTACATATTGAATACCTTAAAAACCACATTTGACAATATATTTACATTCCTCTTTCACACCACTCACTGTCAGAGAAATTGGTAAGAAAAAGCAGCAAAGCTGATGTTGTAACAAAACTTAGATTTCTGGCCTTATTGACACCAGACTGGCTTTCCTGGAGTTAATCTGCTGAGGAATACAAGAGTCTATTGTGCACAGAAACACACAGAAGCTGTTCAGATCTGGAAATGTGTAGCTGCATTGGCATGGCACTGCCCCAAGCATTTATGCTCTACAAACACATCTGAACTTCTCTGAGCCTTGAACTACTGGCTTTGTATAGTGCCAGGCTATGTCATGGGGACCTGCTGGCTCAGGTTGGCTCTAACTCAGGTACTTCATTATACACCAGAAATTTGGCCTTCATGTCTAAAAATAAACAGGTAAAAATTTCAAATATGAACTATCCCTCTTTTCTTTAGCTCATCTTGGAGGGTCTCTAATAATACATATATTCAAGATAGACTTGATAGATTCAAGCAATCAAGATAGATTGCTCTAGAAACAAGCTACAAACTTTTACATATTCTCTGGTTGCTTAAGCCATTCTTAGCCACAAATATTTGCTGCCAGTCTAATATCTGGATACACAAAAGACTGATTGACTCATATTCACACTGAACTTACAATGTATGTCATTAGTGTTTTAAACAAAATTTCTTTGCTACACCCAGATTTCATCTTCTGTTGTTAACAGATGTAGCACTTATTCCAGGAGAGCTTCATCTCTCAGCAAAGACACGTGGTTTTTAAAATTCCTTACACTGTGTAGCAGACTCAACCGATGTGGTCCATTTATTCCCCCTTCAGCACATTATCTCCAGGATGTAAAATGAATTATCACCTCTTCTCCAGTGTAACAGAGCATTATGCTCCATAGAAGACCCAAAACTTGTAGGCTGTGTTCCCACAAAATGTTCTTCCATGATGTCTGGGTGTCTGAAATGACACTTATTTCACTAACTGGTCATTCGTATTGTTCTAATAGTATTAAAAGTATATGTTAACATTAAAACTTTATTGAACTGGTTCCCAGAGGACATTAGAGTCTGAGGGTGAAGCTCATTCCCATGCAGCTCATTTGCCAGCCAAAGGAATACACATTTTACATGTGATTTATTGATGCATGCTCCAGCTGTTGAGCGTCTGCTTGGGAGATTTTCATTCTGGCTGCACGAACTCTGGGTAAGACCTTGCTGCTGTCTCATAGGAGTCTTATAAATTTTAAATAGTGCTATTTAAGTGTGTTAAGTGTATAAAGCTCATGGCATTTATGTGAGAATCACTTTGTCCAGCCCTAAAGTAGAAACCACTTCAGACATAAAATACAACTGCTATTTAGTACCTCTAAAATGCTGTAGAAATTTGAAGATATATTCCATATATCTATGAAACTACTACACTATGAAAGTAGTGTAGTAAACAACAAGAAAACAAGCATCCTTTTTAATATTAATACTATTATTCTAATTGGTAGTAAATATAAAGTTCCTTCTAAACCCTTGGTGTGATCTGTTTTCCTAAGTGAATCAGAAGAGAGACTTAACAGCTATTGAATCATCAGCTGTGTTTTCAATAGCATATGGGATTTCTCCCTTAAATACCAATGCAGCCCAATCCTGCTTAGGTTGTGATAGCTGATTAGATCACAGCTTGGGGCATACACAGTAATTGCTATTAACTTAATTATTTTACCTTATATTAAACATGCTACTGCACTTCCACTATTCTCTCTAGCACTGCTCCATTTTTATCTTTCCAGTTAGATGACAAAATCATCCAAAAGCTAACCAGCATCAAAAAGAAGGCCACAAAATGCCACTATTGCTTATTCTTTCAGATTTCTTTCTTTCTTTTTTTTTTTTTGAAGGTGGCTGAGAAGTGTTGGTTAACATATGGCTACCCTTTAGCTTAATGCTTTTGTTTTGATGATGTTGCTAAAGGGGCTTAGAGGAACTTTTTCCAGTGTTACCACTTAGTGCAACTACTGCCTTGGGAATTGTATAGCTTTATTTTTCAATAAAAGCTTAGATTTTATATTAGTCATATTGTTGCACCTATTCAGTTAGAAGATTAAAGTGTGTTTTGCAGAAGTGATTGAGAGTTTAGAAAAAGTGGATCTTGCCTGAGCTACATATAGCTCTCCAACTACCTGTTTTGTCTGCCTATCCACGTGCTATGTAGTGTTTGCTTTGTCTTCGGGAGGTCTTTTACTGCCTTCTCTCTTTTGACCTAACAAAAGCTCAAGGGAGAAGAGGTTAGAAGAACTTCCTGCTTTTGGACACGTGGTAAGTTGGAAACCATTAACAGTGCAAGGCAATTAAGCCCAAATATGTTGAGACCCTGATTTGTGGTGGTAAGGCATGAGAACAGGTTGCCCAGAGAAACTGTGGTTGCACTTCATCACAGAAACCGAGAAGATGAAAGCAATCACCTGTCCCTGTTATTTGCTTGAACTGTAGTGTGCCACTGGGATATCCTGATTATGGGGCTGCTTCTTGCAGGGGAGTCACCATCAAAGCCTGGACAGTGGTGCAGGGGCAATGATCTGGAATGATGAGCCACATGTGGGAGCAGGCTTTCTCTTTTATACAGGTATACATTTATGAGGAAGATTCAGCTTTGTCTAGGGTAAGACCACCTCCTTTCAAATTACATTTATTCTACAGGCTTGGGCCTGAATGGAAAGGGAAGCTACATTAAGACTAAGTTATTTATTGAGACTTCAGTTTGTGTGGTGAGACACTAGAACAGGCTGCCCAGAGAAACTGTGGATGCCCCTTTGTTGGAAGTGGTGCCCATCACAGGCCAGGGTAGGAGTACAGACAATTTTATTCATGTTGAAGACTTTTGCCAGTTTTACATTACAAGAGAAAATGCTGTTCTTACTCAAAGTTCATTGAAGAAACAGCTCTGGGCACATGTGCAATCTGTATTAACTAATTTTACACCTGGGTAGCTAATGGAGAGCATCACACATTTTGTCTTTTAAAGGCAGGGAATCATGATGAAGTGGCCATAGTGAGTATTTGGGATCTTCAGACATTTTATCACTCTCCAGTGAGCATTCCCTGAGTGCAGCCCCAGACCCTGAGAGTCTGTCCTGTTGCTCCATGTGATTGCATATGAAAATGTCAAGGGTGCTTCTGAATACCTTTACCAGGAAAATGAGGCTAAAATTCACATTATCTTTTAAGCTGTGTATACATGTGCACACAAGCACACACACTCACAAACACACTTCTGTGCCTCTTTATGAAATCCACTTTACTAAGCATGATCTACCCTTTTAAATCCATGCAGAGCCTCAAGAGTCACTTTGTACTTGTCAACATTTTCTAGCTTGTTGCTGACCAGTGATACCAAATCTTCCTATCAATGTCAGATATAAAAAAAATCCTCCTTTTTTTTCCTCTGGGATATCTGCATATTTGAGAAGGATTTTATTAGCCTATTTTGAGCTCTCATTTTTACTCCTCTTTTAGACCATTATTTTGAACAATCCTGCCTTTCTTATGCTTATTTAAGGGGAGAGATAAAAATATTTTATTGTAAATATATCCCAGCAAAAGCAGAATGAACATTAGCTGTCTATAAGGGTTAACCCATTACTGAAAAGCATGCCTGATAAATTGAAAGTGTGGCTCTCAGCCAAGAGAGATCGGTATATTCTGAGCATTCATTTTCTGCCTTAGGAGTGGCAAATCCTGTTGCTGGTATCAGATGTGATACAGCTTCTGAAAGAAGCAACCTCAGAGGCAAATTCATGCTTTGCTATTCAGGGAGCTATCCACTAACAGTGTACATGAATTAAGGGCATGCCTTGCTTACAAATTATTGTTGTATCTGGAATTGCAAATTGTAAATGAGAAAAAAAAAAGAAGCCATAAACAACTTTCAAACAGATCAAATTTCATTTTCAAGATACCATGTGGTGTGTCTCGTAATGTAAAAATTTTAAGTGGTATTTATAAATGCTCCTTGACATATTTTACTCCAAATTTCAGCCATATTTTCACCCCACATTTCAGTCACATTTTCTTCCATTCTGAGTACTAAAATCAGAAATTCATTATTCAGATGCCAGGATGGAGTTGTTAATCCAAAAGCATTCCCATAATCTCAGTGTGGATCAGTAAAGAACTCTAGTCAAGCTGTCTGCAAGTGAAGCTGTCACTGAACAAAGTATGATTTAAGAATAACTGAACAGCAGCTAACCTTCCTGTTTTAAAAGACAGTAAATATTCCACAGTAATTTTTTCCTTACAGACTCATTTTGCATTATAATCCCTATTGCATAATTCCCTATCTGCAAACTCTAATTCAGCAGTTTTGTATTTAATTTACATTGTGTTTGATTTACATTGTGCTTAATTTACATCTACACAAGAGCAAGGAACAGAAGTCAGGCTTTGACAAATCCAGGCCATATTAAACCTAATCAAATTCTTTCCAAGGGAAAAAATGTAGAGCCTCGGTGCTAATATTTCTTTGATGTACTGGAATTCATGGAAGATTATGTTGCTCATCTACTAGTCACAGAGGTCTTCAAGGAGGCTTTTGGGGGGGTCTTCAATTTTTTCTGGCAGATGATGAAGAAGGAAGCACACACCTCCTGGGCATGGCGAGCACCTGTGTGCTTGCTGTCTGCTTCACCCAGTCATGCTGCGTAAAGCCTTCACCAGTGCCTTTGGTGCACCAACCCAGGTGTGTAGGGGGATAGAATATAAGGAAATAAAGACAGTGTAGACAGTAATCTTCCCCCTAAGGAGTTGCAGCTGGGCCAATTATCAATTATTAGGAGCAGGCCCGACTTTACCAGGCCACAGCTGTGACCAATGAGAAAAAGATGCTATAAAAGAGTGGGGTGGCTGGTTGAGAAGGGAATTGAAGTCAGTTGGCTGCTTTGTGAAGAAGTAAGAGCAGTGCTTGAAGGAGCAGCCAACAAGAGCCACCAAGAAGGTTTGGAACTTTTGTGATAAGGAGATGACAGTATGGAACCCCTGCAATAAGATGACAACACAGTTGTCCTGGGCATCAGAGCCAAGCCTATGGAGAGGGGAAGGTTTTGTATAACAGGAGAGGGAAGACTAAAGTAGCCTTTCCTGTGTTTCTCTGCTGCCTTCTGCTCCTCCCTTCTCAGCCCATGAGGTGCCTTTGCCAGCCCTCAGGCAGCCCAGGACTGTTAGCAACAAGAACGCTGCTCCCTGTAGCAGGCCAGGGAAAACAGGCCAGGGGTGCACGGGGGTGGGGAAAGGCATCCTTGGGGAGAAGGATGGGAGAAGGGAGGAGGAGAAAAAGTGGAGACATCCCTAAACACTCTTGAATTCTTTAGTGCTCTACAACAGCCCCTTTTCTCTTACTTTTTGAAGTTAGTTACCATACTTTTACTGAGAGGCAGCTCTTATTATTCCACATGCTTTTGCCTTTCCTGTGAAAAGACATAAAACTTGTTTTCCATATAAAATCACCTCAATTTTCTCTATAAAAGTACTTCATCTGTTCAACTCTTGCAGGTCAAACTCACACAAGAATATAGCAGGCTCTGAAACATCTCAACTCTATACTGCTGACATGCAGTCAATAGTTCATTAAGGAGAAGTAGATATATTTTAAAGAACTTATATTTAAAATGAAGGATTTTCTTTTGTTTTAGGGAAAACTCATGTATTTATACAGTTACAGAGAGTGTATACTTTATCTTTCATATAATTCAATTATATTTGTAGAAGATGCCTAATATGCAAAATATGCTCGTTTTAACACTTATGAAATGCACTGACTAATAATTTTCAAGATTTTCTGATGGATGTTTCCTATTGTTCAAGCAATGCAGAAGGAATATCTTTCCTGCCATTTTACGAAATGCAAAATAATTTCTCAGTGAATGTTCTACATTTGCTCTCTCTCCCTAACATTTTCTGGCAGGGAGGAAAAGATGTCAACATGCTCATGTTGAGCATGCGTGAAAAATTTCCCAGTGTGGTTATGTACTCTTGGTATTTCAGCAGTCTGTGGAGAAGAGTCCTGTATATTCATGCACTGACATAGACAAATTATCATTTTTATCACCTTCTAGCTGTTCAATGACATTATATACCTATCCACAAACAACTGTAATCACTTTGGTTTATAATTCATTATTCATTAGAACTTTAATACAACTTGTTTTTCTTTTTCAGAAACCAGACTTTGCAAGTTTGACCTGAGGATGAAATACTCTGAAAGAAATTTTACTGCAGTATGGAAATCAAACCTTCAGAACTAAAGTTCCAGCAACCACAATTTTCCAAGATGCTTTGCATCTTATTTTAAAATTTATTTTATCTCATTATTTATTTCAATAGTTATACTACTTTTTATGGAACTTCTGGATACCTGAGTTTCCTTTGCAATTTAATAGGATTTCAAAGTGGTCAGAAGTCCAAGGTGGGTCTGTCTTCATTTTGTCTTGAAAGTGAACACCCAAATGCACAAAAATGGGCTTTGGCTTTTAAATGTAGTGTTTTGTTACAGCAGAAGCTGTAAACACTTTTTCAAATATCAAGCTATTGGCTAAAACATAATGTTGGTGCAGGGGTTTGTGAATAGCTTCCCTGTGAAATACTTTTTTATGTGAGACTTTTTCTTCAGGCTTGCTTTTGGTCCAGCAAAGATATCCTGAGCTGTAAAGAAATGTTTAAGATCTCCTCTGACACTAGAAGTCTTTGCTTTAGTAATCCCCAAGGCCTGGATCCCTTGGGGACATGGACCCCACGCCCACAAAGTTTTGGTGGGTATATGCAGGCTTAGCTGGTTTCCCTACATCCTCTCCATTGATGTGCTACTGAAGCCCCTCCTCCAGTGAGTATTTAATTCCCTTTAGGAAAAGGGAAACTCACCTCCCTGCAAAGGAGCAGCACACACTGAAACCAGGGCACTGCTGGCAGGATATGGTGAGCAGAAGCCTTCCTTGCCACCCTTGTGCACCAGGTTAGAAGGAGAGGCCACTGGTGTGAGCAAAGTAAAACAAGTGTCATCCCTCATATCTTGAAACAGTCCGGTAGTATGGTCATTGTATGAGAACAATTGGAATCACACATTTACAAAATAGGCGTTTACTTTTTGCCAGCTGCCTTTTATTTGAAACCAAAATCCACAACTTGTATAGATTACCACGAAGAAAAATAATGCATGTAGAAAAGAAGTTGGAATGAAAGGGGTACTCCAAACCCTTACTATACTGAACTTCTTTTATGATGACTTTTTTTCTTTTTTTCTTTACTTTTTTGCTTCCATGCAATTACAGTTCTTGTGTGAACTAGCAGTTGTCACTAGTGCGTTTACAGCAGCACCTTAAAGATTCACTGTTTCAGTCGGGGTAAAGCAAATCCAAGAACTTCAGCTTGGCAAAGCCTCTGAAAATTTACAGTGAGCTTGTGTGCTGTTTTTAAATATGGGCAGCAATATACTTTGGAACATTCTATATTTAAATTTCAGCAGTGATTATTTACTCACTGACCACAAATGCTCCACAAATGTCCTTGTACAGTACCTGCTAAGCAAGACTTGGACTGAGATGTCCAAATATCACTGGCAGAGGTGTGATGGGGAGAGGCAGTTGGAACACATTAATTCCCTTATTCTCAGTGCATACTTTTCTGTAGGTTTTGATCCTGCATGAAACAAATCTGTGCTACTTATTACTGTCATCTGCTCCTGGTGTTAGCTGCTACTCTAGGGTAGCTCTCAGCCTGTTACCTCACAGCCCTGGGCTAGGTTTGGTATCCTCAGCTTGTGCCCAGTTCAGTGGGGGCTGAACAGCCAGCAATCCTACCAAAGTGCTTGACCTTCTACAGTAGGAGCATTACTGTTGTTTCACTCTATTAATATTAGCTTCCACTGACTCAGGCTTTTTTTTTTTACCTCAGAGGTGTGAGGGAGCTTCAAGCCTTCCCTGTTCAGACCCCAAAGAAGCATCTGAGAGTCTTGCTGGATTGTGAAGAACAAGAAGGTGACATGTAAGCAGACCAGGATCATCTACATAGTGGCTGCTTCTTGCTGCTGTCCCTGTGAATTTTGTTTTAGAGCAAAAAGCATGGTGGTGTAATGGCTTATGTGAGTGTTTACATGAACACAAGCACAGGTCTGCATCAACGTAGTTTGAATTAAAAGATGGCTGTCCAAGCAGAGATTGCTGGCATGTACTACCTATGAGCACTGGGAGGTGTCTTGGAAGATATTCCAGCTCTTGTCAGGCCAGCTTTAGATAAGGGCTGGTGTGAAAGCAATGACCCCAGCAGCTGCAGGCTGTGGCAGCACTGGGCCCCAGTCTGGACCTCTGCCTGCTGGGACCTGCAGGGCTGAAGAAGGAAGACAGCAGTGGGTGAAAGGCTGGGAGAAATGCTCCCTTAGACCATTCCTTCCCTAGGAACCCTTGTATGGGGAAGTGTAATACTGGATTTCTTCTAGAGGCCTCAGAGGCTATGCTTTTGGTAAAGCTAAACTGGGATATTATCCCGGAGAAAATATCAGTGTAAATATCCATTTTAAGCCACTAGAGTAGATTGAAACACTGCATTTGAATTACTTGTAATAGCTAATTTGTTGATCTACACAAAAGGTTAGTTGCAATTTCAAAGCTAGTTCTATTAGATTTTATATAATGATACACTTTATTACATTATAGGACAGCAGATCCCGTTGTTTGTGTGTTGTTTCAAGTGCTTTACTTTGCTGTTGAGACCTTGCCATCACAGTCTTGGTGTCTGTAATCTGTTCTGTGGGTCAAAAATGGGCATCAAAGGCCTGGTTTTTTTTCTTTTTTGAGTCAGTTTTCATTGTTACAAAGGCTTTGAGAAAGTTTCTGGTATTTTTGTACAGGAAGCTTGTAGGAGACAAAGCAATAATAGGCTGAAAAATAAAAGGCTCTTTCCCAAGTAGCATGATATCACTCTAACCTCAGGCTGTATCACAGTGAAAATTACTAGCTAGGGTCTTTTATTAAAATATTTTCTATCAATCTGCTTATTAAATTCTATGAGAAAAGGTTAAAAGTGACATGTTTGCATTGTCTACCATAGAGGTGCCATTTTCTCTTACAGACATCTGTTACTCAATTATCATTATCTCACATTTCTTAATTTTCTAGTCCAACTCTTAATAGGGTCTCCAGCATGGAAGGCTCTGTTCAGCAGCAGGCTGGGAAACATTCTTCTCCTCTTTTGCAGAGAAAACTTCCAGGACTTGTTCTCCATTAAAAGAAATTATCAAGTTTGTGCTCCAACAGTTCAAGATTTTCAAAAACATGCTGCTATTTTAATGTTCATGGTATTTTCCCCCTAAATATTTAGACTGCGTCATGGCAACAGCTGCTTTTAGTTCTAAATTTGTTTTGCCATCCTTCATTTAAGAAAAAAAATGGCAGTTTCAATTTTTTCCCCTTAAATGTAAAATTCAGTATTTTAAACTTAACTATAAACAGCTATACCAATGGTTTGTGGTCTGCTTTGGATTCTCTATGTAAATGGAAATTACCATACTGACTGCTATTCATTATGAAGAGGCACCTAAAACTATAAGATAAAAGCAAATATAAAGTATGCACAATGCGTGTTCTTTGGAAGGGGGATGGCAAGTAGAGGGTAAGTAGCAAAATTAGTATTCTCAGTACATATTTAAAAATCAAGAAGTAAGCTAAAAATAATTGTATCATAACAGGGGCAATCAATGGTCCAATTTTTTCCAGTGCATGAGTGCAAAGCGGATTTGAATGTACAAATTCTTGATATTAACAGCTGAACGTTTTATTGCCCAAGACAGAGTTAAGGAAAAGGACATTAAAGATCCTTAAATGTAACTATTAACAAATGTAGCACAATTAATTGTTGCTGCTGTCATTATTGCTAGTATATTTGAAGAGTGCTGGAAGAAAAATGTAGTGGATTCCACAACATGTAGTTTCTGAGTGCATTTGGATGATTTCTTACCTTGGTCAAAATAAGAGACTTAATTCTGTTGCAGAAATCCTACATTTCTTTTTAGAGTAGTCTGATCAGCAAGTAAATCAGTCAAACAAATTTAATGAAAAAAGTGCATGCAAGTCTTTTGCCTACATAAGCAATACACAGGTCCTTAATGGGTATTTTATTAAAAAATAAACTGTTCTACTCAAATTCTGATTAACAACTGATTATTATAAATATTTATTCAACTTGCATATATTTATAAGGGAACAGGACAATGTACAGATAGAAAAAGATGCAATGACTTAATATAAAAAAAGAAACTGTTTTGACCTTTCAAAAAATTTAAGTCTGAGAAAACCCTACTACTCTACTACGTAGTAGTAGTGAGACTTTACAGTAAAGCTGAAATATGCTGCTAGTTTTAGCTCTGAAGTTCCACTGCTTTATGCAGGATGGTTAAGGCAAGATATGTACTAATGGCTAATGGACAACAAAGAGATTTATAATTGGATTGTGCTTATTATCAAGAAACTACACCTTGCCACAGGAGGAACATACATAAGACATACAGATATTTCATACCAGTTAATTCTGTACCACTCCTTCCCCTATTTGTTTCAAAGCGAGAGTACAAATCTATACATGCTACTGTGTGTGTTGATTTGCACAGAACCTGCTGGACTGCTTGATCCAGGAAAGCTCCTTTCACTCCCTTAGTGGAAGTAACCATACCATTAAAGTTACAGTTTGTCATATGTGCATCCTCCTCTGAATCAGGGCTGTAAGCATTGAATAGGACAAGGAATTGATACGAAACACTGTCTTCTTTGTAGAAAATTCATTATGAAATACTTATTATGCCTCTCTAATCTCAATGTTTTTCAATGTTTTAAACAATTTCTGTAACAGTTTTTTCCTGTTGGAAAGTATAATTGCAGGTTTTCTTCCTTTTCTGGTGCAAGGCTTACAACCATTCTTTAAGATCATTACATTATCTCAAGTACCTTTAAAAAACTTCCCTCTGATCAGCTCCATGTTCTGTGTATTGTAGGAGATACAGATAATAGAGTTATTCACATAAATTTGCATTAATGATACTGAATTTCCTTAAAAGTCTAAATTTAATCTACATTTCAAAAAATGAAAAAGTGTGACTAACATTTTTCTGATAGGCACACTAGCTGAGCATCAGCTTTATGGCTGTTTGTCAAAGCAGATAGAAAATAAAAGCCTTTTCTTTAAGATATAGGGCAAAACTTGGAAATTGTAAGTGCATCTGGGCAGCTGAGGTCCCAGTCTTGAAAGGCAGCTGGAGCACACCTACATAGCTGTGTGCTTTCATGTTCCAGTTCATCTGCTTCTGACAACATCAAGGCTCTGACACCCACAGTGCAGACTTTGCTCATTGCTTTTGGGGGCTACTCCTCCCCTACCCTACAGTTAGGAAGGTTTGATGCTTGGGGTGATGGAGCCTGTAGCATGTAAAAACCTGCCTGTATTTCTTATGTTACCAAGTAACACTAAGTTCATCTTTTTTGTCCCTGTTGATGGTTTTAACTGAGCTCTTACTTGAGATTGCATGCTGGTTGTTTTCCTTCCGTCCACCTTGCTGCTGTTCATTCCAGCTTCCCTTTATGCTTGCCAAGCATTTGTGCAACAGGCAGGTGTTCTGTGAAATGCTGGATCTTGGACACATTAACTCTTCAGCTGTAAGATGGATTCAGGAGGGGCAGGACCGCATCAGTGTGGAGCACTGATGACAAGCAGTGTCTCCAGATCCTCCATCCCTGGAGGCAGATAGATTTCAGGAGCTTGCCCTAGGCCACCAGAAATGGGTCACTTCTGCCCTGAAGTGGAAACAGTTGCACAATAGAGGTGGCTACCCCTCACAGCTCGAAGTTCATGACTGGGTCAGCACTGGCCTGCCATTACTCCTGGGCTTGTGAGGATTCATGAGACAATCAATCATATGGCCTGTGTGTGGATAATGGGCATAACTAATGTGCCTGAAATAGCATCTGGCTTTCTGATAATGGACTTCCCAAAGTGCACTGAGTGTCATTAATAGTATTCATGGCTGCAGGTTGCTTGCCAGAAAAAGTAAGTAAATACATTCACCAGAATTCAACACAGACTAGCATCACAATGAAATATGCAGGAAAGGCACCTGAAGAAAGTGTAAGCACCTTGGGAATTTGAGCGGCCAAATAGAGATTGTTTTGCATGGGCTGTTCTCTAGTACTGTGTCTTCCAGAGGCACCAAGGTGAACCGAGAGGCTGCTGAACAAGGAGCATGAGAGCTGAATGCAAAACTGGCACCTTCTAACTGGCCCCCCTGTGCCCTCACCCAGGCAGCATGCTGGGAGCAGGCAAAACCAGCACCCCAGGAAAAATAGCTTTTTAAGTTGACCACACAGGTTACCTGCCAGCCTTGACTTTTTAAGGAAAGATTGTCAGTTATTTGTCTGCTCTCTATCTCATTTTCCCCTGTCCTTCCATGAAATCTGCCTTGGATCATGAAAGACTGAGAGAGAAAAAGGTAACATGCGAACTGTTCTCAAATCTGAGGCAAAACCATTTCACTACAGGCAGTTTCCTTGACAATAACAATCTCATTAGTCACAATGAAATCAGAAATCATTGTCCATAATGCTCGCAGTAGAAATACTATGAATGGCAGTTAACAGGACTGGATTTGTTTCCTCCAGGTTTTCTTCAGTCTTTTCCCTAAGCATTCCTAATGCCAGGATGCTTCATGGCCCATTCTTCTCTTCAGGCTGATCCTGAGCTTTTGACACCCTGAGTCGTAACCAAAACTACACTCCTATTCTGCTGCAGGCTTTATCTCTTTCCCATACAACTCAGCTTGACTATGTTGAGAACCAAGCATTTAAATGAAAGCCCTTTCTATGCTGACCCCAGAAATTAAACAGAATTGTGGAGCCTTCCTTCAGGCAGGTAGCAGAGCCCTGAGTGATGGCTATCATGGAGCTTGGTGCTCCTGAGTAGGACTGTAGAGAGGGTTGTGATCAGTTAATGCTCTATTTTATTTATAATTCAATATCAGCACAAAAAGGCAGATATAAGTCAGGGTATTAAATATTTGCATAATTTTCTTTTTTCATTACATTGGTAATTATGTAGCCCTTTGCAGCTGATTTACACAACTCATTTTTGTGCAAACAAAATGGTTATAAGCACTAATTAGGGTATTTTATTTTAGCAGTGCACAGCCCCCAAAATTTTCATCTTGGATATCTATATCTCTTCAGAGCTTAAAGCCTGAGCACTGAGGGAAATGGTGTCTCTTTATCTTGGTGCAAGTTACAAAAAGAGGGAAAGGCAAGTAGGTGGTCCCAAGAAGTCTGTTGTCTAGTGGGATTTGTGTGTGTTTGGCCCAAGGATGCTGTCATGACCAAGAATCTACATCTGCTAACTCTGAGCTTGTTTGCTGTAGTTCAAGGAACTGAGGTAAAACCTTAAAAATGTTTTCTTTAAAGGGAAATAGAGAAAATCCTCCTGCCCCCTTAAAACATCAGATGGCTAAATCCCAAGTCACACAGGTAGATAATATGGACAGCAGGTGGATTGCAGGTTCCTGAACACACAAACACAGTCCATAAAACTCCCACCTTCCCCTTTTGCTTATTTGAAGGCTGTGGCCAACTTCCCTAAACTAATTGTGCTCATATTTTGTCTGATTCCTAAATCTTTTTGGAACTGACAGACCAAGTAACTTGGGTTTTAACTTCTTGATGGGCCCATTTCCACAGACAGGCTCAGAAATCCTCCTCTTCTGCTGAAATCCCCCACTTAGCCAATGTGAGAGATTCATAAACAGGGCAAGCCAAAGGGACCATGTCTCCTGCACTGGCCTAAGGTGGATATTCCCCATGGAGGCTGACAATGACTGCCTACCACTCTATGGCAGGATGTCCAACTATTTTTTCTTAACATTTGTTAAGAAAAGTCCAAAACTATGTCTAAAAAAAAAAAAAAATCAATTGTTGGTATACTCATTATGTCTCATCTGTGAACTTTTTGACCTGATGTTCAGCAATATGACAATAGCTTTCAAGATAAGACACTTTT